TATCTCGACAACACCAACATATACGGCCCCTTACCGGACAACTTCCAGCTCTTCTCCAGTTTGCAGTACGTTAGGCTTTCGTATAACAACTTAACCGGAACGCTTCCGGTGTCTCTTGGAGGAACCTCGATCCAGTCTCTCTGGATCAACCATCAGCAAAATGGGTTCACTGGTACCATCGACGTACTGTCCCAGATGACGTCGGTGACGCAGGTTTGGTTCCAGAAAAACCAGTTCACGGGTCCGATTCCAGATTTGTCAAATTGCACTTCATTGTTCGATCTTCAACTTCGGGACAACCTGTTGACGGGTCCTGTTCCCCAATCTCTGATTTCTCTCCCAAGTTTGAAGAATGTATCTTTATCGGACAACAAATTGCAGGGTCCTTCTCCCAAATTCCCTGCCAATGTGGAGAAGGTCACTAATGATGGGATCAATAATTTCTGCAGCAATAGCGGTTCTTGCGACCCTCAGGTCACAGTTATGCTGGAAATTGCAGGTGGTTTTGGGTATCCCGTTTCACTTTCTGATTCTTGGTCTGGGAACGATGTACGCCAGTTTTCTTTTGTTACCTGCGATACCAAGGGAAATGTGATCACTGTTAATCTAGCCAAGAAGAATCTTGTTGGGACTATCTCTTCAGCTTTTGGCAACCTCACATCGTTGAAGAATTTGAATCTCAATGATAACAACTTGACGGGTTCAATTCCTGATAGCTTGACTAATTTGAGTAGTCTTCAACTTCTTGATGTGTCTAATAACAATCTCACTGGAAAAATCCCAACTTTTCCGAGTACGGTGAACTTTTTACATACAGGAAACGCTTTACTTGGGAAAGACATTAATTCTGGTAATGGAGGCTCAGACAAATCAGGCAGTGGTTCTTCTGGGAGCTCAGATGGTAACGGTGGTAGTGGTAAGAGTTCTGCTGGTCTGATTATTGGAATTGTGATTGGTGTTTTGATTTTTGTTGCTGTTTTGTGCTTTGTTTCCTTTAAATTTATTATGAAGAAAAAGTATGGCAAATTTGGGAGGGTGCAAAGCAAGGAGAACCAAATGGCAGCAGCAAAGCCTAGTATAATTAATGGGAATGGTGGGACTGCTTATGAAATGCAAAGCCAAAGTAGTGGTGATCGTAGTGATCGCCATCTTTTTGATGGTGGAAATGTTGTGATCTCAATACAAGTGCTTAGACAGGTGACTAATAATTTCAGTGAAGAAAATGTTTTAGGAAGAGGAGGATTTGGTGTTGTGTATAAAGGAGAATTGCATGATGGCACTAAGATTGCTGTGAAGAGGATGGAGTCATCAAGCATGGGTAACAAAGGCATGAATGAGTTTCAGGCTGAAATTGCAGTTCTCACTAAGGTCAGGCATAGGCATTTGGTTGCACTTTTGGGTTACTGCATAAATGGTAATGAGAGGCTCCTGGTGTACGAGTATATGCCCCAAGGAACTCTTGCGCAGCACTTGTTTGAGTGGCGTCAACATGGGTATTCTCCTCTCACCTGGAAGCAAAGAATTGCAATTGCATTGGATGTGGCACGTGGAATCGAGTATCTTCACAGCTTAGCACAGCAAAGTTTCATCCACCGGGATTTAAAACCATCAAACATTCTTCTTGGGGATGACATGAGAGCTAAAGTCGCAGATTTTGGCTTAGTCAAAAATGCTCCGGAAGGGAAATATTCTGTGGAAACCAGATTGGCTGGAACATTTGGTTATCTTGCACCTGAATATGCTGGTAAGTAATTTGAGAAATCTTTTACATTTTCCAAGTTGAATATGAATCATATGTAAGCTTAGGCTTTAGGTAAAGTAATTTACAAACATACCACTAAGTGATTAATAATTACGCCAGTTGCCTAATAATTGACTAAAGCAATTTCAGAAACATCCTGCTATGTAATTAATAATTACGCCAGTTGCCTAGGAATGTTAGATAATTGCATTCATTTTTGTTGAAGATATGGTGACTTGCTGAAAATACATCTTAAATGCTAAAATTTCATCATGTTCTTCCTCCTCTTTTTTTTTTTTTTGTTTGAATGGGAAACACATAGTAGGTGGGAGTATCTGAAATCACAATTTCCCTTGTAAAATCTTCTTAGGGATGAGAAAAGCGTGTTATATTGAAAATTATTTACCTGGATTGAGAAAAAAAATTTCTTTTGGTTAGACCTGATTTCACATAGTGACCCTGCAAATTGTTGGCTGTTGGAAAAGTCAGGTGTGAATCCAGTTTAATGTATAAAACTTCAGAAAACTATCCTGTGGCATGGCCTGCTTTCACCTAATTATATTAACTATGCTTACTTTAATTTTCCTGTACATTTATAAGTAGAAATTGGTAAATGCCATTCTTTGTCAACATCTATTTACTCATTGTAATTTATGAACAAAATCTACTTTCTTTGTTGACAGCTACTGGAAAGGTTACAACAAAAGTTGATGTTTTTGCATTTGGAGTTGTTTTAATGGAGATAATCACTGGAAGAAAGGCATTAGATGATACCTTGCCAGATGAGAAGTCTCACTTAGTGACATGGTTCCGTCGAGTCCTAATTAGCAAAAACGGCAGCATCCAGACGGCAGTTGATGAAACTCTCCATCCTGATGAGGAGACACTGGTGAGTATTTCAAGGGTGGCTGAGCTGGCAGGACACTGCACTGCCCGTGATCCACAACAGAGACCAGACATGGGCCATGCAGTCAATATTTTAGGACCCCTTGTTGAGCAATGGATACCCACCAGCCAAGAAGATGAAGATCAGTATGGTATTGACCTTCACATGAGTCTTCCTCAAGCTTTACAAATATGGCAAGCTGATGAAGGTACTTCGACATTCTACAGAGACACGTCCTTCTCCCAAAGCCAGTCTAGCATTCCCTCCAAACCGTTTGAGTTTAAGGACACATTTTCTTCATCAGATTGCCGGTGATGGAAGTGAAAGTATCAAGATGATTTCAAAGATGTTAGAATGGTAACAAAAATGGGACAACTTCCGAGTGAAAAGGTGGCCCCTCCATCAATCCAAAGGATTACCAAAAGCATCATAGTTATATAATGTTAATTTTGTTTGTTTTCTTGATCTTTGTTCTGCTAAACTTGAACCAAACCGATAGAGCTATTAGTTTTGTTAAAATTCTTTAAAATTTAACTATTTGATTTGTTTTCAAAGAAGAGAATAGAGAACTTGGGGACAAAATGGGGGGCAGGGCCAGGGGGTGTTATATCTGTACCATATTCTTTCACTATTTGCATTATAAGGCATGATTATTGCTTTCCACCCTTTGCATTCTTTTTCCCTTTTGTTTTGTAACCTTTTTTGCACCTTTTAAGTGCCATATGCTTCAATGATTCTCCACTCTCCAGGCTGTATACAACATTGAGTGCAGCCCAAGTAAGATATAGATATCACATTATGGAATGGGGTGGAAAGAGAGAATCTCTAAGCTTTAGATGATGGTAAATTAGGTAAGGTTGCAGTTGGAAAGTGGTTCACATGGGTAGAGGTTGCATGGCATTGAAATCTTGGACTTTACATGGATGACTTTTGTAGTACTGCACATGCAGTGGGGGCTTTTCCCTAGTCTTTTTATATTTCCTGGATGTGTTCGGAGTTGTTTATCATTATGGTTTGATGATTTGGACACGTAACTAAACACCAATTAAATTTTATGCTTGGGGCTTAAAATGACCGGGATTTTGTGATAGATGTTGTTTATGTCTAAGCATCACTTGTTGGCATGATAATCTCTAAGGCTGTCACAATGTGGTGGTTGATAATCAGTATAACTAATATTTGACTTCATTGAGATTTAATATTTAGAAATCAAGTTTATATGCTGACATGACTATGATTTTTAGATTCTTTTCCGCATAGCTAAGGCTCTTGCAGGAGTGTTGTTTGATAAAGTTTTTTATGATAAATTTTTTTTATGATAGTTATATGGTCATTATTGATGCAATATAATTTTAAATTCTTAATTTTTTTAGGGGTAGGACTATATATATATATATTAATTTCAATATCTTAATTTCTTTTTTTTTTTTCCGTCAAAATTTAGCCCCCTCGGCTCCCTCTTCTTGGGCTGATGGTGAAGAAGCTCAAACAAATCATCACAATTTTGAAGTGGCCCGTGGCCTGTGGTCCAGGGAAAGAACTGTATATTCTGGATGCTGATATTGGGCTAGAAGCCCAAAAGAAGCCTCCTGTAGGAAAATATATCAGTTCCAACAGTCCTTTGGGCCTTGGCCTATAAAGATAAAAATTAGGATAATATTTAAACACTACAAAAACATAGTTGCGTTTGATGTGATCTATTTACCAACAATTCTTAGTTCCCAACCACCCAGCTTGAAATGCCAAGGAAAAACATGTAGAATCCAACAGCCTCCACATCTCACTCTTTTCATTTCTCAAACCTCATTACCTTTTTTACTTTAAATCAAATCTGTGTTTTGTATCTTCTTAGTTTTTCCCTTCCCAGAATCCTCACTTCTCACAAAGATCATTGAACTAAACAATAATTCCTGCTTCTCAGCACTTATCAAATTCATTGCTTATATATATAACACAGCATTCTGTGGGATTATAACACAAGCAAATCCATCCCATTACAACTAAACTCTTCTGTTTTCTCCAACATTCATTCATGAAATCCAGTTTTCCAATGGATAATAAACGTTCGTCTGCAAAACCACTTCTGTTTTGTCTCATCATGTCCTGTCTCCTTGTTGGGTCATGTAAGTTCTCCAAATCAAAACCTGATCATCAACATGCATGATCATTCTACCCCAAACGGTATCTTGTAAAAGTTCGAGACTGCAGATTGGATGTCTCAAGTTTAAACAAGGGATTTAGGAATAGGAACACTGTTACAAAAATATCAACATCTACATTCTTCATTGAGTTTAACAACTTTTCTTTTTCTTTAACAGGGGCTCAAATCTCTAACAAAATTGGCATAAACTATGGCCGATTTGGGAACAATTTACCATCTCCATATCGTTCAATCGAGATCATCAAATCCATGAAAGCAGGGCGGGTGAAACTCTATGATTCTGACCATGAGGTACTCAAACTTCTTTCAGGGACAAAGCTAGAGGTTTCCATTATGATCCCCAACAGCGACATTATCAACCTTGGTCTGGAACAGACATCAGCGGACCAGTGGGTTGAAGACAATGTTGTGCCTTACTACCCGGCCACCATGATTCGATTCATCCTGGTAGGAAACCGAGTCCTGAGTCACTACTCAGATCATGACAGGGAAATCTGGCGTCATCTCGTTCCTGCAATGCGCAGAGTCAAGGCTGCTCTGAGAGCACGATACATGAGAAACATCAAGGTCAGTACCTCATTAGCCATGGACATTCTGCAATCAACTTTCCCGCCATCTAATGGAACTTTCCGGTCTGATGTTTCTGCCAATGTTGTCGCACCATTGATGCATTTCCTCAATTCAACCAACTCGTATTTGTTCCTTAATGTTTATCCTTACTTCCCCTGGTCGACGAACCCGAAAGACATCAGCTTGGATTCGGCTCTTTTTGAGGGAAATGTTAGCTACAAAGACCCTGGAAGTGGCTTGGTATACAATAATCTCCTAGACCAAATGCTTGACTCGATAAATTTCGCCATGGAAAAACTAGGATACCCAAATGTCCCGTTGGTGATATCTGAAACAGGGTGGCCAAATTCCGGTGATTTAGATCAAATTGGAGCAAACGTCCACAACGCAGCTACCTACAACCGAAATCTAATCGGCAGAATGACTGCAAACCCGCCACTGGGGACGCCGGCCAGGCCTGGTGTGGTCATCCCAACGTTTATTTACTCTCTGTTCGACGAGAACCAAAAGGCGGGTATTGGAACAGAGAGGCATTGGGGGTTGCTGAGGCAGGACGGGACATCTATTTATGACATTGACTTGAGCGGGGAGCGGCAGGAATCTGATTACAGGCCGCTGCCAGTGACGCAGAATAACGAACCTTACAGGGGCAAAATATGGTGCGTTGCGGCAGCAGAGGCCAATCTGACAGAGCTGGGTTCGGCGCTGAACTTTGCTTGTAACCAGGGGAACGGGACATGTGCGGCGCTGGCGCCAAGTAGGGAGTGTTACCAGCCGGTGTCGTTGGTCCGGCACGCGAGCTATGCATTCAGCTCGTACTGGGTGCAGTTCAGGAGCCTGGGCGCGTCCTGCTATTTCAACGGCTTAGCCGTACAGACCACAACTGACCCTGGTAATTTGTTTTAAATCGTGTGGGTGCAGTTCATGCTGCTTAATTTAAATTGTTAGATAGACTAAACATCTCAACATTAAAATTAAGTTTCAAATTTTAGGCCTTAACTTCCTTCAATGCAATAAATCCTTAAGATTACTTAAGAATATAATAATTTTAAATTGTGCAGAAACTTATACAAAACATTTTAACTGTAAATATAAATAAATGCTTGTAGTTTTATTATTTAAATTATAAAATAACCTTTTTCACTAGTTATTTTATTTAAATATTTTTCAAGTGAATTAAAAAATGTACAAAAATATTTAGAAAATTAATTGATAGTATTTAACTCTTTGGATAAATATTTCTACAATTTTTTCAATGTAAATCAACTTGAAAATCTACAATTTTTTTGATGGGGTTGTTTTCACAAATTTAACATGAAATATTTGAAAGAGTTCTCATTTTTCACCGGTGCTTTGCACAAAAATATCTCTCTATTATTATTTTTTTTTTCAAAAAGGAAAACCTACCCGATCGCCGGAGATCATGTATTAGGTGGGTTGGGGTCATGGATTATCTAATGGTTTATTTTTAATTTGATACAATTGAGTTTGATAAACAAAACGGTTAAAATAATTTAGCATTAATCAGTCTAAATTAAAAATGGTTTTCTCTTTCTAACTTCTTTATATATATATATATATTTTGCAGGTGATAGTGGGTGTCAATTTCCAAGTGTGACTCTCTGATGTTTGAAGATTATAAAGATTGGACTTATATATTTTAAAAAAAAATTATGAGGAGCCTTAACTAGTGGCCATAATATTTTATTTGCTGAAGAGCTCTGTAAAAATATAATTTATTTGCCATGTGATTCTCATTCACTAAGTCCGTGTCTAATTATAAATATATATAAAAAATAGTATAATTTATTGGCTAAAGAGCTCTCTCAAAAATAAATGTGAGAAGCGTTGAACCCCAATAGAGGATTAGCAGAATTTGTTAGCCTTCAAATGTTAAAGCTTTTATAGTATTGCTCTTGTTAAGGTTGGAGATTGTCTTGAATTAAAAATTTTAATGATTTACTAATAAGAAATAGTTTTTATCATTTGTAAATCCCTCCTCACTCAAAATTTAAAGGTACATTGTTACAATCATTTTAAGTATCAAATAATAGTTTTTAAGATGGGGAATATACCCCTTATGTTATCATGCCATGTCAAGATAACCCATATGAATCAAGGTAGGATATTGCTTCACCTCTTTAATGGCAGGTCTTCTTCATGTACTGCCGTTGAATATTTAAAGTTACATCTACTTATATGTTCAATTGAGTTTCTATTGTCGAAAAACTGGCAGAAGGTGCAATTCAGCCTCTCTACTATTAGTGTTGTGGCAGATCAGCTTTACTACTAAGAAGTAGTGCAAATCAACCCCTCTAGTAATCAAACTCCACAAATCAACCCTTATGCTATAGATGACGTCATAAAACGTTATTTTACCGTTTGACTCTTTAATGCTCCATTAAAAGAAGATGATGTGGCACTAATTTGGACTCAAATGCTAGTTATCAATATCTTTTTCTTTTAGCATGGCATTTAAATAAATGGATTAAAATTCTTAATTTTTCACAATACAAAAGAAAAACAAAACTCTAATTAAAAAAATCCCTAATCCTTTTAATCCAAACCCAAAAGCTTATCCTTATTCATTGCTAAATTCGTAACTAAACACAATTACTCTTCTTCTCCTCCTCTAACACCATTGGCTAAAGGGTTCCTTGTTGGCATTGAGAAGATGCAGCAAGTTAGGATCTTCAATTGGAACTTTGGTGGTGAGATTTGTTCTCATGTGGGTTGGGTATGTTTATTAGGTTTGTTCTATTTTTTCATGAGAGTTTTGCTTCTGTTGAAGACAGCCCAAGATATTAATACAAGACATGTGAGATTTTTGGTTTTTCATCAATGAGTAATCGAGTTATATTTTACTTATTTGTTTTTCTTAAAATTTTGGACTTTTTACCTTATTGTAATGTGATGATCCTCCTCTTGCCACCTCCTTTGATGCCAAGGTCCTAACTTTAGCAATTTCAAGGTTAAAAAACAATTTTAGTACAAATTTAAAAGTTAATAGACTAAATTAATATTTTAACCATGTTTTATTTCGTCATCCATAACATAAGGGTTGAATTGCGAGGTTTGATTACTAGAGGGATTGATGTGCACTACTTCTTAATAGAGGGACTGCTCTGCCACAACACTTACGGTAGAGGGGCTCAATTGCACCTTCTGCCTTGTAAAATCCTTTTTATAATATAATAATTGAATAGGGTTTCACAGCATTCACCCAATTTCTTATTGTCCTTTTTTTCGTTCTCTACGTAAGAAATCTGGAAATGTGGGTTTTTAGGTAGATTTGTAGAAAAATATGCAAAAATATTGTAAAAAATATTAAACATTACCATTA